AAGATAGATGCTCTACAAAATGGCTCTGGTGTTTTTTTGAAATACTTTTTATAAGATCATGAATGCACTGGTTTGATCACTTTTTGACAAAATTGTCAAAATAGTTGTGGATCAAAACAGTTGACAGGCACTATCATTTTGTAGAGGCATGGTTTATGGATATACCATTTTTTAGGATGGAGACTGTGTGCCACAGCCATTTTGTAGAGCAAAAGGCTAGATCACTACAAAATGGTCCACTGCGACCCCACCCAGGGAATGGCAACGGGGATCCATAAAAATTAAAATCTGCAGCGGCGGGCCCGTAGTGCTCATACGGTAAACTTAGGCTCTATTTCCAAAGAAATGGGTAGTAGCTCACCTCCTTTAAATCCGATTGCCCCGCCGTCAAAGCTGATGGCCTCTCAAGTCAATGATCTTTGATGGCAAGGTTGACTCGAGGTTGAATAAACCCTTGCTAATGATGATGTCCTGCAAAAGGATCAAACATGTGAGCAGTTGCCCTTAAGTGGAACTCTCTCAATTCCAACCCAGGGGGTTCCTGCATGAAACCTTAGCTGAAACGAATCGCAAAACAGAGTGTAGCAGATGATTTTACTATTGGTTTCAAACAATTTTTGAGTTCCATGCTAGATTTCAATCGATTTCAGGGGGTTGATCCAGGATTCAGATGGTTTTCTCCCAAAAAGGGGCCCAAAAATCCAACTTGGGGAATTCATCGTTTTCTGCAGTAAGATCCTCGTTTTTGTCCATCACGGCTGAGGAGCGCGGTCTATGCCTTGCCTCTCGTTTTTTTTGGATGGTGTTGGCTGAATTATTGATTGGGGAATAGTATCTCCTGCAAAAGGATGATCATATTTAGAGTATTTTAGAGTATCATATTTTTACAGGGCCAGGTTGGCCATGGCACTGTGTACATCCACAATTTCGTCCCGAAGAGTCAATATTGGAAAGTCCAACAACACACTGATGTGTAAAACTCACAAACAAAATAGGCAGACACCACGCTTTTTGGCGAGTTTCGGAGGAGTCGAGAAAGGTTGCCTTGAGCGAGGGCTTATACCCAAGGCTAGGTACCAAGTTTGTACCTGTGTTTATTGACATCAAATTTTCTGCCGTTGCCATGACGGCTTCTTGGAGAAATTTTGACATTGTGGATTGGGATGTCAGATAGTATTCTTCATATTATGACAACTAAATAATACAATTTTCCCTTCAAACTAGTTGGTGTTTGACCCAAGTCTGGGATCGGGTGTGCAATGCCGATGTTGATGATATGGTATAAACTATATAAACCCTAGATAACCCAAGTGAATGCTTGGGTCCAAAAAAAGGTGGCCATTGATTCCCTTTGTCGCCCTCCCCGGGCCATTTGTTGGCCTCTTGTGGTCTGGTTTGAAGTTTGAACATCCAACACGAAACCGGAAGTTCCAGGGGCGTATCACAATTTTGAAAGGGGGATGGGGAGGTGTCAATCATGTTCAACCATTTTCAACCATTTTCCCTACTAAGTCTGGTGTCTGGTTCCAGCATGCTCCAGGTGTCAATGGATGTGGGCTGGCTGCATGCACTGCTTTGAGCCTTGGACTTCATAGCAAGGGGGAACAAGCCGTCTTTTTGTGGAGGGAACACATCATCCTACTGGGCTTAGCCAACAAAAATGCTAAACTGCGGTATGGGATGAGGATCCCAGCGCAGACTTGGGGGACATCAACATGAGTACATGATAATACATGTATGCAGCAATGCTGGATTATAGCAGCCCCAAAAAAGATAGAAAAGTAACTCATCACTATTTTGGTAGATTTTATCTGGTTTTATAATGTTTTGTAATACGTATACCGATACCTTTCTATCTTTTTGGCGGTGACTGAACTGTATTAACGTATAGGGCTTTACTTCCGACAAATTAAAAAAATACTAACGACACAATGAAGTTCATCAATGACAGGAAGGATCGTAATTTCAACTTTATTGGTTTGTCATGATTGTATTTCGGCATTTTCAATGCTTTTCGCAGCTGCTTGCAGTGAAGCAATGGTTTGGATTTGGTGGCAAAATTATTCGAATGGAATCAAGTCAGAAAGATATAGAATTTGTGCGTTAATGGGTTCCAGGACTTGTTTTCTATGGTTGTGGATGCAACATCAACATTCTTTTTGTGTGGCACTAAACGCTCGAGCAGGGGCGAACATGCGTCATGTGGAGCATCCGTCTCATGGCAGGATTGATGTGTCTCTGAGCCGAGGATACGCGCTGTTCCAGCAAGATTTTGCGATTGCGTAAGTTTTTCCATTCTGTGATCATTTAAGTTGGACGTTCGAATAAGACTCTGTTCAAGGCATTTTGTTCCCAATCAAAGGTATGCAAACCATTAATAACCATTATATAATGAGTTTTGTAAGGCTTTGCAGCGTGCAAACCCCAGGAGCGCTCCTGCTTCTACCTGTCCTCCCAGCTTTTCAGTGTTAGTGTGGTTTTATGCAGTCACGGTTGAACAGCAAAAAAAGTATAAAACATAAAAACTACAAAAAAGAATTGCAGGATCTCTTCTCAAATGAAAAGAACTGGAATTTTGTAGGTCTGCTGCTCAGACACGCTAGGTCTGTGACTTCTCTTGGATCACGATAAGGAACACTACAAAATGCAAATGCTAAAAAACAAAGCGTTCCAGAACGATCTGTGGGAGCTACTTGAAATTCACAACAAGCATCTACTTCCTTTTTTTAAGCGGTTCTTGAGGGACCTCTTCTCAACCCCCTGATTTTTGTAGCAAACCCTTATCCAGGTAGGAGGCATTTTGTAGCGAAAAAAAATGAGGCTGTGCATGACTCTTATAGTGGTTATGGTTGTGCAAGGCCACTTTACAGTTACAAAACCATGACCCAACAGTCCTCCCCAAATACAGTGCACCATTTTTTGTCGGAATCACGTTGTTTTTTTCTGTTGGGGCAAGGTACGTTTTTGTAGGGCAACTTTAAAGTGTTGTTTTTGTCGTGGTTAGAACGACGTCTCGGGTTCAACATTGTGTTTTTTTCCGAATTACCATGAGAGAAAAACAAGGACAACCGATTCCATCTCATGCCCGTCACCACCGGACTGAACGGCGCAGAACTCACCTATAATATGGTAAAACCCAACAGTTTAAGCATCCAATTACCTAAACATATAGACATGCAATGAGTAATGGGTTGGGTACATATTCGTTTATATAGGTTTTATCATCTTTTACCGTCTGGTTACTAGAACATGGAAATTCCATTGGAACTTGAACTTCATTTTGCACTGAAATTCTCGAGGAGTGCACGAGTTGTTGCGTGCCAGTCAGGTTTTGCTTTCTTGCAAGGTGAGCAGTAGAGATTGGGGTGGTAACTCACATGATTTGTTTTAATAAAAGGGCTAACGCCCTGGTGCCGCCGACCCCCTTTAAGGGGGGGCATGGATTGAGCTGGCTCAGAACATGAAACAACCAGAGCAAGCACATCGCAGCATATCGGAATATCACGGAATATCTTATATGCACTTTCAAGACCCGTAACAGATAGGCTCCTTGAGCCTGGCCTTTGGCCCAGTGGAACGAAAAGCGCCCAACAGCAGCTTCAAGACCCGTAACAGATAGACTCCTTGGGCCCGGCCTTGGGCCCAGTCGAACAAAAAGTGCCCAACAGCAGTTTCAAGACCCGTAACAGATAGGCTCCTTGAGCCCGGCCTTGGGCCCAGTCGAACGAAAAGTGCCCAACAGCAGTTTCAAGACCTGTAACAGATAGACTCCTTGGGCCCGGCCTTGTGCCCAGTCGAACGAAAAGTGCCCAACAGCAGTTTCAAGACCCCTAACAGATAGACTCCTTGGACCCGGCCTTGTGCCCAGTGGAACGAAACGCGCCCAACAGCAGTGTCAAGACCTGTAACAGATAGATGGGGCCAGTCGAACGAAAAGTGACCAACAGCAGTTTCAAGACCTGTAGCAGATAGACTCCTTGGGCCCGGCCTTGGCCCCAGAGGAACGAAAAGTGCCCAACAGCACAGTTTCAACACCCAACAGATAGACTCCTTGGGCCTGGCTCGGCCCAGCGGCAGTTTCAAGAACAGATTGATGCCTGTGGAACGAAAAGTGTCCAACAATAGTTTCAAGACCCGCAGCACACACGCTACTTAACCTCGCGGCAGTTTTAGACCCGTAACAGATAGATTCCTTGTGCAAGGCCTTGGGCCCAGTGGAACGGCAAGTGGTGTTGAGCAGCTTCAAGACCCGTAACAGATAGACCCCTTGGGCACGGCCTTGGGCCCAGCGGCAGTTTCAATACCCGTAACAGATAGGCCCGGCTTGGGTCCAGTGAGTCCAGTGGAACGAAATTTGCCCAACCGCAGTTTCAAGACCTGTAACAACCTTGGGCCCAGCGAAAGTGCCCAGAGAGACTCCCTGGGTCCGACTTGCCCAACAGCAGTTTCAAGACCCGTAACAGATAGACTCCCTGGACCCGGCCTTGTGCCCAGAACGAGACGTGCCCAACAGCAGTGTCAAGACCTGCAACAGATAGAGTCCTTGGGGCCGGCCTTGGGCCCAATGGCAGTTTAACAGATAGACTCCTTGGGCCCGGCCTTGGGCCCAGTGAAACGAAAAGAGCCCAGCGGCAGTTTCAAGACCCGTAACAAATAGATTCCTTCAGCCCGGCGTTGCGCCAGACCCGCAAAGGTGGGGTTCTGTTTGCTGGCTTGCAACGGATGGAATTGCAGAACGGGTTAGCTCTGTTCCCAGGCGCCTCCCCGCCTAGGCCAAGGCTAGGCAGGGGTCGGCGGATTACATGTCTTATCATCTACATCTGAATCCTACATTGACTAGAAGAACCAGGCCACACTGGGTCCTAGAACCTGCTCAGAGGGGATCCCAAACCCTCCATGTTTTGGGGCGATCTTGAAACTTAGATGTTGTCTGAGGTGGTTTGCTCCATTTGCGACTCGGAGCTGTACTTTGTCGCTTGGCAGACGTGGGTGTTGTGTCACCCCGAAGTAGCTCTGGCTGTATCCAACACTTGAAGACCTACTGAATTCCACTGCGTATGATGAAAGGGTCTTTTCAAGAAAGTCTATAGGCCAAACTGGTCTCGTTAGTTTTGTTTGATATGCTTGAGTTGCTCTGTGTTCAAGGGACCCTGATCTTGTCTGGGTCATGGCTTCTGAGAGTGTTGGGGTTCAACATATTCCTCATTAGTGCTCCTCTCAGGACCAGTAAAACATAGTGCTTCGAAAATAGTGTAAGGGGGAATTGAAAATGCAATACCTGGATGGGTCAAAACCTATCATTGCCATAGGGCGAATAAACATCACACACCCATTAACATCCATTAACCGATCATTAACCAGCTATAACTTAGGGTACCGTTTGGGTCGGTTTTGACTGCACCTGATCGGGGGACATGTTGCTAGCTCCAGGTTCAAAAAGACGGCCGGGCGACCCACGGAATGTGGCCTGGAGAATGTGGACAGACGTGGGTTGGAACAAGGGAATTGGTGATCTGGGTGTTCGAGAAATGGTTGGGTATGGGTCAAACATGGAGGATTAATTTTTGATTTAATTATGGCAGTGTCTCCACTGGGAAAATGATGATTATATAATAATATAGGCATAATATTTATATAGACCAATGGATATTGGATCATTTTGACCCAATTTTCAGACAAACCCGAGTGTTTCAATAATGAGGATGTCCACATCTACCAATTCAATCCCAATGCATGGCCTGTACTGAGATGAGGAAGAGCAACGTTGGCATCCCCACAGTTTTGGAGGTGCTGATTGTGGGTGGATGTTCCGTCTGTTCTTTGATTGTGGCACCTTCATTTCGAAATGGTCCGGGGTTGGTAAGTTTCATAATCCCACCCTGGTCCCCCCCTTTTCTCTGAGGGAAACTTGCAAGCAACTCTTGTATTTGGATGGCAACTCTCAACGCGACCATTTCCTCTGATTTGTTCATGAAATCAATCCAGTCAATGCTGTGTTTTCGTTTTTGGGAACTCTTGGTCCCGCATTTGAATAGAATGAACGGGACACCAACCTTTTTTGTAAAAATATATGTTGTTATCTATTTACCGTCTATACATATTATGTACATATACTGTATATGTATATATATATATATATATCAATATGTATACACACATTATATGTGTGTATACATGTCTACACATGCATGTACATACGGGTTTTATCCCAAAAAAACAACTCTGTGAGACTCAGGAGGGTCTGGGAATCGTCAGATATTGTTTTAAAGCTGAATCACCTCCGTGAACGCTTGGTAGCCTAATGACTTGACCCATCCCCGGCTGGCTTGGATGAAGGGAGCGTTGATTCGTAACCCTGAATCGGAAAAAATCTAAGTCATCAAGCTCTTAAATTTAGACCTGGATTTACCACAATTCGATTTTTCGGGTGTTTTTCCTGTGATTGTTCTTAAATCACTCAGACATCAACGTCGGAACCAAGGTTGCCCCTTCGAAAGCGAAGCGTGCTGCTCGTTGCTCTCGTTGCCGCCGGCAGCGCAGCCGCAAGTCTGGTTGGGTTTATCTGAACATAGGTGATACCCTAAATCTCATGGTAGACCCGGAATTTGCTGAAGATTATCTTTTATTTTCCTGGGTTAATCCACCATCTGGGGAATCTACTGACATTCCTTATGGTCCCGAAAACGCAAATCCACATAGAACCAGGTCAAATCTGGAGCCCATTGAAGTGTCATCTTGGCTGATTGGGGGTTGTTCATAAGGGGCCCAACTTGAAACCGAGGGCCATACAATGGCTTGGTATCTCGGGAGAAACTTTGTGAGTTTCCGCAGCTACAAGCAAGATCAGTGGGTACTGGTAGTTCTCGCAAGAAAGAATGGAAACAACATGAAACAACTAGTCGGGATTAGCCTCCAGCAAACTTATCAACCATTTGCAGATCATTGCCTATGAAAACCCATGGATTTCATTGGATTTCCATTGATTTTTTTCTGGAGGATAGTGGTCTTCTAACGAATTGAACAGTGGTAGCCCTCCCTAGAAATCGGGGTAAACTTGGCCAGGCCCAGAATCCCAAGCTCCCACGAGTCATGACGTTGGGACGCTGATGATTTTCCAGTCCTGTAGACAGATGAGAAAGTGACACCCTCACAGAATTGTGTATATAATTAACATTGTATAAATTATATATAAAAACTATATATATATAATAAATAAATATATATATATATATATGATCTTGATTTTGGATCCATAATGAATAATAGCTGATGGACATATATTATATGGACATTTGATGGCTGAACAGACTGCTTTGGATCAAAAGACAGGTATCCTGCCAGGTATCCTGGTTTTCTTTTTAACGACATGGCTGGTGAAGGTGAGCCCGGCAACTATGGTGTATCGGGGCTCCGGAGATGGGCTGTCTCGTTTCTGAGGACTTCTGCACCTGAGCTACAACGTTGGCTAGGCGCTTGCTGTGTCCAACACAAGTAACCGGCAAAAATGGGATGATTTCATTGCCAAGTTCCTAGACATGACCAAAAACATTTGCAGCCGGTTGTGCCACTCTGCAGTGGCTTGTTGGGCACAACGACTAGAAGAACTCTTTAATTTCAGATCTGTATCCTGGCACAGGTGACTATGATTTCTTCAAATTTCTTTAGCTATGATCATCTCCAGAAGAATGATGGAAAACGCATGCACGCAATCCTCTAGGTGGATGTTGACGTGGTGACATATATATATATATATTTAATAATTATATATAACTATATAACTATAATATATATATATATATGATTATATATATAATTATATGATATCTTACTATATCGTATTCTTGTTGGCAAACCATGACCGGAGACCTGGGTCAATTTTTGTGGCAAATTCTACTGGGGCTCTCAGATTTTTCTTTTTGATGGGTTCAAGGATCGCCAAACATTGTTGGTTAGCCCCTGTAATTTATTATATAACTCATTTTAACCCCTAGCGCCAACGGCAAATCAACACACAAATTGTTTGAAGGAAATCTATGTATCCCTCAGGATTCAGCCAGATTTAAAGCTGTACAGTGCACGTAGAATTCAGCACGCCATGGCGCAAATCGTGGCCCAGATAAAAACAGCCTGGCTATTTGGACTGCAAATTGACATGTTTCAGTAGCTTCCTGCCACCTTCATAAGTCTCATTTTGGTATCTTGGTGGATTACAACCTGTTTTTAAGGCGATTTTCAGAAGGACAGTGTAGGGGGACATGTCAGAAATGTCTTCAGGCACATTAAGCCATTCAGCAATCAACACCATTTCTGGGGGAGGGTCAAACTTGTGATACCCCAAAATCAAAAAATGATACTATATAAACATGACCCAGATTGGTAGCATTTTTAGGTCTCCAATTTGGACCTACCTATTCCTCAATGGTGTGAGCTTCCCGGTCTCCAGTCCAGTTGCCGCTGCGGCTATTGCAGCTTCAAGCAACAAAAACGGACGAAGTGTCAGTGATGCTCTCCGAACATCCTGCCAGCTACGGAGGAAAAGCCAGATGTCATTTTTCAGCTACAGGGGAAGGGCCTGACAGAGCCACCTTGGAAATGGATGACATATGATGAAACAATTACATCAGCAGGTCTCATTCTACATATGTCATCGCACAATTTTTAAAACAAATCACCACTCACATTCCAAAAAAATGTCAGTTTCACTTGAGTATATTTCACAATCTTCTAACATAATCCAACCATATCAAACCTTTATTTAATAGACGTCACCGTCCTCGCGGTCCTCGCGGTCCTCGCAGTCCTCGCGTCCGCCAACGGCCGAGCATCGCGCGGCCCGGTGCCCTGTGATGCGGTGCAACATCCCAGTGCAAACAGCCTGTTCAGGCGACACGGAACGGGGGAACCAATAAATATTCACACATGCATATGTAATTATATACAGTATATTGTTTACAGATAATTTTATATATACATATAATGGATTCATTGATATGCCGAAAACATATTTGTTATGCATATATATATAGTTATATATATAATTATATATATGATTACAAATGATTATATATATATATATGTATATACACATGTACAGACAGTATATGCGCAGTATATCCTGGAAGACAACGACCATCCGTTTTGTTTTGACATGTAAAATACTATGGATTCACCATCCAAAATAAGGGTCACTTGGGTTGCAGGGGTAGGATGCAGCTGATTTGACACAGCTAGGTTAGGTGGCAAAGGAAAGTCCCCTAGATAAATGGAGGTCTTAATTGGAAGTCGTCTATACATGGAGTAATTTCCATTGCCATGTTTGATTACCGATGGTATATTTGTGTAAGTCGCCCTTGATCACCTATGCGACTTACCCATGGCATTTCGTTTCAACCCAATCGAGCAGTATAAGACCACCAGAAAGTAGCCCCAAGAGCTGGGAAGTCTGACACGGCTGAGCTGGGCCCGGCTAATCGGGACGAACATCGGTAGAACGCCATGGAACTGTCGATTGATGTTTTCTATTCTTATTTCTGGTGTGATATTTTCAGGATATATCCTTTCATTGATATCATATCATTGTTGTTCCGTTCCCACAGAATCCACTCATGTCCAAGGTTTGTTTGTTGCTTCATCCCCAGTAATTACTACAGGAACCGAGATGTGACAATAAGCCGCCGGGATTGGTTCTCCCCATCCTGATCTTTTGCTTGACTTTCCACAAGGGTTATCCATAGGATACCACCACACCAGCGACTGGGCCCCATGGAACGTGGTTTGAAGCCGGTTCGAGCCCGGTTCAAATGGGCTTTGGAAGATGAATTTCCTATGAATCATGGTCATTCATATTTTCAGCTTTGACCATTGGGTTTTTTTCTGGATTTTCGTAGTGATTCAATCGTAAAAACTGATGTCATCTGATGTCCTTTCCTCAGTTACTCAGACCTGGCAGGTGTTGAAATCCGCGCTGCGCAAAGCCATGGCAGCCATGAGAAGGGAGGTGCGACTCTGGCAATGGTGTAATTTGGGTATTCAGCCAACACCAAAGGTGAAACCACCGCAAGAATAAGAATCTCAATCACCAACAACGACCATTGCAAGGTCTTTATTGCGCATCTCTTATTGGAAGGATCACCTATGATTTTGAGGGTTTTTGGATGTCGACATGTGAGCTGTGGAGGTGTGGAGCGCCATCTCATCGGATGTCCCAAAACATGGAGGTTGAACAATCCAGAAGTTGGAACTCAAGTACCCAAGAAGTAGGAATGCAGGCCAAAAAAATACTACTATAGAGTAACTCTTGATAACTTTTGTGGGTTCCTTGCCAAAGATCCACCAGATGGTTGACATGGCTCAGTTGCTTGGGTTCTCTTCCTTTTTCCTCTATATACTCATATGCATCCACTAAACAAGAATATGAAGCATTTTATGGTGGAACTTTGGTGACACATAGGTTACAAGTCAAGGGTTGAAACACAAGTTGCACAGCAAGAACTTTCTTTAGTCATAGCCTTAGCGCATTTCCATTTTCTTCCAAGTCCCACAGGATGGTAGACTTTGTCGGGTGTCGACAAGCACAGGAAGGGTTGCTGTGCATATCAACTCCACACACAAAAAGGCAAACCTTTTTTCGAAACCTCAACCGTTAACCCAAACAACTTATATCTATAATATAAAAATTCCCGGAACTTCCCAAAGGCCGAAAGCTAAATTCGCTGGACCTCTTCAAAACGCTGAGACCCAAAAAGCCTTGACCCTGAGTCTTAGAACTCTGGTTGAGAGGATCTGTTGGAAAAGTTGCGAAAGGCTGTTGGTGAAGAATTGAGGTCTTTGGGCATAGTCTCACTGTAAGACCCACATGCTTGTGGACTGCTGGCAAAGCCTGAATGGCTCATTTTTTGCATCCGCCTTCTAATGGCTACAAATTGAGGTACACTGTTTCCCCACCGGCCAGCTGAGTGTCTCTAGATTTTATGTATATTTTGTGTCAGCTATGGCAAGCTCGCCAGCTCTCTCGGTCTCGAACCCGAACACTATGCCGCAATCCCGGGCAGAATGTCAGATAGAACGCCAGATGAAAGGGCAGAAAGAAAGACGGTCAAAACATATGTCAGATACCAGTAGTACCGCACAAGGCGGTGGCGGAAGTTTCAAAAATAGGAAACCTATAGGAGAGGTTGGTTGTTGTGAATCAGGGATTGCAGAGCGAAGCCACTGATGGAGCGAAAGGTGATTGATCTCTCTCACTATTTCTCTCTCTTTCTCTGACTATCTGCCTACCTAACTACCTACCTATCTATCTATCTTTCTATCTATCTATCTCTCTATCAATCATTCTATCTATCTCTCTCTCTCTCTCTCTTTCACCTAATTACCTATCTATCTATCTTTCTACCTATCTATCTATCTTTCTATCTATCTATCTCTCTATCAATCATTCTATCTATCTCTCTCTCTCTCTCTTTCATCTAATTGCCTATCTATCTATCTTTCTACCTATCTATCTATCTATCTATCTATTTTTCTATCTATCTATCTATCTTTCTATCTATCTATCTATCTATCTATCTCCCTATCTATCTATCTATCTTTCTATCTATCTATCTATCCATCTATCTATCTATCTATTTTTCTATCTATCTATCTCTCTCTCTCTTTCATCTAATTATCTAGCTATCTATCATTATCTATCATTATCTATCATTATCTATCATTATCTACCATTAGCTACCATTATCTATCTATCTATCTACCTATCTATCTATCTATCTATCCATCTATCTATCTATCTATCTATCTATCTATCTATCTCTCCTTCATCTGTCTAGCTGTCTACCTGTCTATCTGTGGTGCAGTGTCATTGAGTGCAATGTAGTGTAGTGTATTGTAGTGTGGTGTAGTGGAGTGTAGTGGAATGTAGTGTAGTGTAGTGTAATGTAGTGTAGTGTAGTGTAATTTAGTGTAGTGTAATTTAGTGTAGTGTAATTTAGTGTAGTGGAGTGTAGTTGTATAGTTGTAGTTGTAGTTGTAGTTGTAGTGTAGTGGAGTGTAGTGTAGTGTAATGTAGTGAAGTGTACTGGAAGGTAGTGTAGTGTAGTGTAATGTAGTGTAGTGTAGTGGAGTGTAGTGTAGTGTAATGTAGTGAAGTGTAGTGTAATTTAGTGTGGTGGAGTGTAGTGTAGTGTAGTGGAGTGTAATGTAGTGTAGTGTAGTGTAATTTAGTGTAGTGGAGTGTAGTGGAGTGTAGCTGTGTAGTAGTAGTAGTAGTAGTAGTAGTAGTAGTAGTAGTAGTAGTAGTAGTAGTAGTAGTAGTTGTAGTTGTAGTTGTAGTGGAGTGTAGTGTAGTGGAATGTAGTGAAGTGTAGAGGAAGGTAGCGTAGTGTAGTGTAGTGTAATGTAGTGGAGCGTAGTGTAGTGTAATGTAGTGTAGTGTAGTGTAATTTAGTGTAGTGGAGTGTAGTTGTGTAGTTGTAGTGTAGTGGAGTGTAGTGTAGTGTAATGTA